GAGAGAAATAGGAGGGGTGGCATGCAGAGAGCATAAATAGGAGAAAAAGAGAAGACGAGGAGTGAGAAAAAAAAGAAGGAGAGGAGAACATCAGGGGCCAAGACGTAAAGAAAGGTATATAGAATAGAGAAAGATAACAGCCCAGAGGTAGACGGGATAATTTAGCTAAGACTGGACATTTATAAATAAGAAAAAGCTTCCAAGTGTGATTATTTGGGAGCCGGGTGGTCCCCCAAAGACTGAAAAGAGTAAAGAGAAAAACAACAACAACAACAACAAAATGAAAAAAACAACTACACCTATGTGCCGGTCAGATCAGCAGTCCAGAAGCTTGCGTGCTGAAAACGTGGCTTGTGCTCTTGTAAGAATAATACCGGCTTGCACGATGTTTACTTGTGCCACAGGACCCACGTGAAGCCTCATCTTCCATGAGCATTCTCAGAACAAGCAGGGCAGGTGAAACGCGTCTTCCAAGCTCACACAAATAGTGAGGGGTGGAAGCCATTCAAACCAAGATATGTGGCTTCCAAGTCTGGGCTCCTAGCCATTTTACTATGTAGTCTCCCTGGGAAGACAGTGTGACATTTGCCTCAACCCTGACAAAGGTAAAGTGGACACCAGAGCCTTTTCAGGTTGGCCTCCTTAGAAGCACTCCCCACACTGAAACAGGCTTTAGTGTCTCAGAAATTCTTCACTTTCAGAAGGGTCAGCAGATAATGCCAGCACCTGCTTGGGCACTGTGGTGCCTTTGCCAAGGTGGGTCTACAGAGAGTGGCTGAGTGGGGGATTAAAGACCAGACCACAAGGACTGGGCAAGTCTTGCAAGAAACGGGTAAGCGAAGAGAATATCTGTTGGCCTTAAGGACCACGTGGCCCAACTGTGGGCTCTATCTTGTAGAGATGCACATACAGAGGGATGGGTCTCTATAGCAGAAAGCAATGGCAAAGGTGATGGTAAGTCAAAGCTGTAATTAATCTCAGTTGCCTGGAGTACAGTGGGGTGTGGTGAGGGCTATGGCCAACTGAAGTGCGTATCCCCCTACAGGAAAGAGCTATTACTGAGTCCCAGCTATTGGCAGCCGTGTAGGAATATGAACTTTAACAGGTACTGTAGATCTGATTTTTTATTTGAAATGTCATTTTTCTCGAATGGGAATATTTTGAGTTTGTGCTGCTGTGCTTCGAAGAACCAACTGTGAGAAGGTAGTATCTTACAGTGTTCCCTCTAGTCAACTTGGGTGTGAATAAGCGGTTCTAGTTGGGAGAGACCGAGTGCCTGCACACAGGGACAGTGGCAGGGGGTCACGAAGCCAGACAAACCTGAAGGGCTCCATTAGTCCTAGGGACAAGAGGCCCAACCTTCAATCAAACTCTTGTTAACCAGTCTATGGATGGCTGTAAGCCAAGTAAGAAGTATCAAAGGCTATGACTCCTCTTGACACCCTAGTGAGGTAGAGTATCCAATTCCTACACTCATGACAGTTGCCTTTTAGCCCTCGCAACTGCCCTAACCGCTAAGGAACAACCACATGTTGTTAACAGATTCAGATGGCCTACCTCCCGCAAAGAAACACAGCAAGTGGAATAGTAAATGCATGCCCAAGTGTAAGGAATCAGACAGACTGGGTTTCTTGGCTCCCTCTTAGTAGCCATATGGTCTGCAGAGACTTTGAGTTTCTAGGCCTCTGTCTCCTCACCACATAAGTGGAAGAGCCATGCCTGGTAGATGTGCTGGTGGCTGAGATTATTTAAGGTCCTGCACATGCAGCGCGCTGCCTCTTCCCTAATGAGTACATCAGCAATGATGATCGGCAGATGCCAAGCTTAGGTGGCTCTTCCTTGATCTCCATGGTGAGATCGTGGTCATGTGCCACTCTAACCTCTTTATATATTAATAGGCTTTCCTGTCCAGATTGTTCCCACTAGAAAGTGATATGGAACGCAATTGTCCAGGACGATTAGTGGTGTGCACAAATGTCTGATGGGTACTTGGTGTTTGGTTAGGATAGAAATGTGCCAAAAATATCAAATGTACCCTGGGCTTCAGTGGTTTTTGTGGGAAACCCAGAGCATAACATGTCTCTTTAGTCCTTTACATATTGATTCTATCTATCTATCTATCTATCTATCTATCTATCTATCTATCTATCTAGACACTCATGTAACCTAGACTGACCTTGAGCTCATTATGTAGCCTATGATGTTCTTGGACTTCAAGTATAAGCCATTATACCTGGTTTTATCCTGGGGATTGAATTTGTGCATGCTAGGGAAGCATTGATTATAAGCTGAAGTGATGATTTCTTGGGTCTACTAAGTTTGTATGAAAATGTTGTTTAAACATTTCTGCTACTTTTTATAATTATTTTCACCTATTTCCATTTACTCTTCAATTTTAATTATTTTATCCTTTTATTTTTTTGTATGTATGAATGTTTTGCCTGCATATATGTCTGTGCACCACGTGCATGATTTGTGCCCACAGAGGCCGGAAGAGTGTATTGGATCCCCTGGACATGGAATTATAGACAGTTATGAGCTACTGGATGGATGCTGGGAATGGAATCAGGCTCCTCAGAGAGAGCAGCCTCCTTGCTACCCCCTTACTTTTTAAAAATTATGGTGAATATAAAATTCAAAGTTGCATATCTGGCTTGAATTAAAATTCAGTTCATCAATTTAGCCTAACAAGGAGTAGGCACTGAAGATACAAATGCTGAGTGATCAAATGACGTCCACAGATTCTAGGGCTGTTTTCTTTCTCTAGCTGTGTGCCCTTGCTCCCAGACCCCTTCCCCTCCAGTGAGCGGTGACCATAGACTCTTGACTACCATTCACCATCAGTCAGCTTCTCAATCCCACACTCCCTATGTAATGGATGATGTCTTAGAGTTTTCATTGCCGTAAAAAGATACTATGGCCCTGGCGACACTTATGAGGGAAAAACATTTCATTGGGGTAGCTTACATTTTCAGACGTCTAGTCCATTACCATCATGGTACAGCATGGTGGAATGGAGACGGACATGAGAAGGAGCTGAGAGTCCTACATCCTGAGCAGCTGACAGCAGGAAGTGAACTATGTCACTGGGCAGAGCTTGAGCATAGGAGACCTCAAAGCCCACCCCCACAGTGACACACGTCCTCCAACAAAGCCACACCGACTTCAACTCCTGATAGTGCCAGTCCTTATGGTTTATGGGGCCAGTTAAATTCAAACTACCACAGATGGCAAAGGTTCAGAGCAGTGGGGGGCTTTAAGAATTCGAGGTTCAGAGCAGTGGGGGGCTTTAAGAATTCGTCCTTGGTTAGCAACACAGTAGAGTGGAGCTAGAGTGTCTATCCTAAAACGTCATCTTGTCAACTAAGCATATAACATATTTCCATAAAAGGAACTCCTCAGGTTATTTCTTCTTGGAAATGATCAAGGCTGGAAATCCTCGGGACACGGCAGAAGAAGTGGCCATATGGATACCAGTGGCAAAGTGAGCCCTCAGAAGATGCCATCTTTCCTTCTGATACCTTGACCCCAAATTAAGGTCAAACTCAAACCAACCATCCGCTTCTGTAGGAAACATTAAGGCTGTAGTCACCGTAGACCAGAAGCAAGAGTACTCTCATTTGGGGCATCCTGTCATTTCCTTAAGTAAAAGGGCCATGGGATGCCCTTGTAATCGTGATAATAGTATTGAAAAAGCCAGAAGTGTTGGCAGGAGCCCTTTGGAAGACTCTGAAATCATTAATATTATTGAGCCAGAGAGGCTGCCAGTTGGCACCTGCCATGCTTCTTTCTTTCTTCCTGTTCCACTAACACACAGGACAGCATCACTACCACCTTCATGCAAGTGTAGAATCTGTGCCCAGGGAACCATGTGCCAATCAGAAAAGGATTCATCAATATCCTCAGGGTCAATTAAATCCAAATGTGAGGCAGTTACATAATTCTATAAATACAAGCAAGGGGGTAAGAAATAACGACGAAAAAGGAAGGGCCACTGTACACAGCATAGTACAGATGTAAGGCGTGGCCATGGGAAGCTTTGCTCTATTCCTTCTTGTGACTTCAGAACGTATTATTATAAGTCATGCTCCTTGTGGACAAACCCTGACAGTACAGGAGGGACAGCCAATGCCACACTGAGTAGTTGATGGATAATGCTGGCCCAGGGTTTACGGCATAACTAGGGCAGGATGTTCAAACAAGCCAGACACCAGGCTCATTCAACTTCACAATGGCACAGGCCATTCCCAAAGACCCTGAAAGAAGATAGAAAACCCCGCTCTCACTCCCAAGGGCCTAAGGGTCTAAAGAAGTTGAAACAGAAACACCTAATGTCTGGGAGACACAGACCAAGACAAACTGGGCAAGGCTATAGAGATACCAGAGAATGCTGGCCGAATATGTCTGGAAGCAACGAGAACTGGATTTGAATAAAAGGGAATGCTCTTTGGTTAGGGGGAAAAAGATGGAATCTTGGCTTAGGATAAGCACTTGGGGTCTGAGCATGGTATGAACAGATGGCTAAGTTTATTGTCCTTTCTGGTGGCCCAAACAGGGAAACAATCACACCAGACCATACCTGGATGTCAACAATCCTTGAACTTGCTCTTTAGAGTTGGTCCCATGCAAGATAGTAGCAGAGGCTGGGAAGAAGAAAGGCCAATAGAGCAGAAATTCACCTTCCAGTCGTGGCTGGAATTGGTGTCCTGGCCATTTTACTTGTTCAGCGGTGGTTTCCACTGAAACTGTGTTTACTATTTGTGCTCAGGGCTCCTACTGCCGTGTTTTCCCAGAGCGGAGGGCTCAGCTGTGGGAACTAGGTTTCCTTGGCTTTCTGTAAACTGCACCTGCTGAGAGATCCAGTTGTCTCCCTGCCAGAGTGATGAGCATGGTGCGAGGCACGCAAGTGGGCAAGGAGAGAATGAATGGAAATAAAGCAAATAAAACAGCCAGCAAAAGCCCAGCATGCAAGATGACATCAGCACCGGAAGTCAGCGAGGCAAACACCATCTGGCCCTGAAATACGAACGAGCACCGGAGGATGGCTCCATCTCCTGGGAATCTGGGCTGCAACTGGGCTCCGGCTTGCTTTCCTATCTGCCCGAGACTGTCCTGGCTGGGGGCAGGTGGGGCGCTCACCTGCAGAGCTCTCCAAGAGTGAGGTAAAGCTCGTTTTCATCTTGCCACTTGTATTTGTTCGTTCGTTCCCACACTTCATCCTTTTGTTAACCCCTCACCTCCTTTCCTTTGCAGGAAGGCCTTTCTCCTGAAAAGTTGCTGAGATCTTCTCGTCACCCAGCCTGCCTGCTGTGAGCCTTCTTGCCAGAGCCTCCTCCCCGAGGTGAATCTGCTCTGATGCTTCCTGATGCCAACATGGCCCATGTCTCCACTGCCCGCATGCATCTCCTCACTGTAACTATGCTGCTGCCAACGAGCCAGTTCCGTACACACCCTGGCTTCCCCTACATTCGTGTTAAGTGATCTGCGGGCCCACGAATTAGCCACAGTGTTTTGGGCATTGGCATTTCTGCTTATGAAGGTCTCTCATCCTAGGATATTTTTCTTTTTTGTCCCCATCAGAACTCTCTCACCTACATTCTTACTGATACTTAAGTCAAAGGCAATCATGTCAGCAATGAGTACTCAAGCCTCATGCTGAGGAGAGCACCCATTGGCAAGGCCCCCAGCTGCAGCCTTTCTGGCTTTGTTTATGCCCATGACTCCAGGAGGCTGTTCCCGTCAATGACTGAGCACAGCTGGGTATTAAGGAAACCCCATCTAATGGACAGCACTAGTTCAACGACACCCCAAAACTCCCTTGGAAATGCCCTATGATCTGAGGTGTTCCTACCCTAGCCTCCATTCCCACACGTGTCACTGCATTGTGGCATGAAGGCTCTTCCTGTCTTTCTTGTTCCCATCTCACCCCAGGACTCTCGTTCACCCTCTGTGTAGCTGGTCTTCCGCTTTTATAAAAGATTATTACAGACTGGCTAATGTATAGAGAAAGTAAATTCGTATGTGTCCTCCTTGGATGCCTTTCTAGACTAGCATGCCAAGTCAGCATCATCTTGTTCTTGAAGCCTTTCCTTTCGTGGGGGAAACTGGACCTTCTCTCCTTCATACCACCATCTCCCTTGTCTGTGCGTCACGAGAGCACCACTATGTTTACATTTGTTGTGTGTGCGTGCATGCATGTGCATGCATGTGCCACAGCACACATGCGGAGACCAGAGAACCACTTCTGGAAGTCAGCTCTCTTCTTCTACGATGTGGGTTCTGGGAACTGAGCTCAGTTGTTATCAGGGTTGGCAGCAAGGTAGCAAATGCCTTTGCCCACTAAGCCAGCTTGCTGACCCTGCATCATTCTAAAAATAAAATAAAAAACAAATGCATGTGTGTATGCACATGTGTGCATAGGTGTGTGCATGCACACATGCCTAGAGTGTGTGCAGAGGTTAGGAGACAGTTTTCGGGAGTTGCCTGTCACTTCCCACTTGGGTTTGCCATGCTGTACCCTCCAGGCTTTGAGCTTCTGGGTGATTGATTCTCTTTTCTGTCTTCCACCTCAGCATCCCAAGTGTGGAGATTAGCGAAGCGCCCCATCGTATCTGCCTTTCACATGGCTTTCAAGCTCCTACCGCGACTCATCAGGCCTGTGTGGCAAACACGTTTGCTCGCTGAGCCACCTTTCTGGCCCACTCTTTGCTGTAATTGCCTTTATGACTGCAGATCTCTCGGACTCTAGATCCATGGCGCTGAAGAATTCACTGTCTTGTTCATCTTGTTGATGCTGCTGCCTAGTTCAGTGCCCGTCATTCCCCTATGTACGATGACTGCATATGGACTGAGCGAATGATTGGTCTTTTTATTCGCTTATTCTCACTGGCCTGCACTGTGTGTCAGGTAGTGGGAACAGAAGGACAGGGAACCAGAATCTCTTGAATGTCCTCAAAGGCTGGCCTGTAAGGTTAGCGTGCAGATAGCTCCATTCTATCTGACAATATGATCCGAGAAATAGGAAACGAAAACCTGAAGGAGGTATGTTTGTTTTCACTGGGTGGTGTCAGAGGGAGCTGGGATAAGGAAGGTTCCCTAGAGAACATTGCCTTTGAAATAGGCCTCGGGGGATCTGTAGAATATATATATGAGGGGTAGAGAAAGGGCCTTCTCTTCAGCTAGAGATTGACCTACAAGGACACAGAAGGACAGTGTGATGCGGCTTTATGTTACTTCTATAATGAAAATATTCACATATGGAAAAAAAGGTCCCTTCTCTGTTGTTTTAGCTGAAGAAGGCTTTGTTTACTTGATGTTTGTTTACTCTGCCTGATTCCCTAGGGTCTCCATCTGGCTCCATCAGAAAAGGCTTTGCCTTGTTTGTTTTCAGTCTCTCTTTGCTGTCAGTCTCCTTGATTGACTTTCCCAAGTCACATCTGGCAGGCTCAGAGGCCAGGATGGCGCCCGGGAGGCTGCAGGCGTTTGGCTGGACCAGTAGAGCCTTCGGTGATTGTCTGCAGCTGACATGTCTCTGGTAGAGGACTCATTGGCGCCTATTAGCAGGGCCCAGAGGGTCCTGCAGACTGTGGGCTGGAGCGGGCATGGGATGAGGCACTGGCATCAGACAGCAATGTGCCATCAGTTACTGTTTAAATAGAGCCCTTGCCTAGAAGGGCTGGAAGGTGGGAGGAGAGAGGAGGGAGAAGAAGCAATGTAAGCAGACAGAAGCCCGGCCAGTTTGTATGTCTGGGGCTTCTGGGCACACGGAGTGGGGCTAGCTGGTCTCAGGGGCCGGACTGCCGAGGCACACAGTGTCTCCTGAGCAGACAGGCTGCAGGACAAAGGACAAATTCCGGGTGGCCCCAGAGGCTGATCTACAAAACTCTGGCTGGATGCTCAAGGGCTAGCAGAAGATTTGAAGGCTGCTCCCATAACTTGAGACCTGTTTTCTTGCCTCAGCCCTCCATTGGGCTGTAGATAAACTCCCAAATGCAAATTTCATTGCTCTCAAACTTAACTTCCATCAGAGCATCATTTTAAAAATAAAGTGTTTTTATTATCTTATGCATATCATGGAGACCAGAAGAGGACATCGGGATCCCCTGGAACTGGAGTTGTAGATGGTTATGGACCTCTGTGGGTGCTGGGAGTAAAATCCAGGTCCTTTGGAAGAGTAGCCATGAAGCCATCTCTCCAGCCCTGACTTCGGTCTGTTTTGAGACAGCATCTATAGCGCGCGCAGCTTTCCTGGAGCTCACCATGTAGCCCAGGCTGCTCGCAGGCCGTGTCAATCGTCCTGCTACGGGCTTCTGAGTGAGCCACCATTGAAACAAGACAAGATAAGCTAGGTCTCTCAAAACACGGAAATACAGCACCCTGTGGTGTGTGTATGTATGTGTGAGTGTGCATGTATGAATGTGCAAGAGTGTGTGTATGCGTGTAAACAGGGTCTCTGTATTGGATCTCAGGTTGCTGCAGATTGGCAACTTCTGCGTGGCGGAATTGTAGATGTGCCCCACCATGCCCCATTTGATACCTGCTTTCTAAGAATATTTAGTTTTTATTTTTAATTGTGTGTATGAGAATTTATGTGTATGTGAGCGCAGGTGCCCCCAAAGGCCCCGGGTGTCAAATTCCCTGGAGCTGGAATTACAGGTGGCTGGCAAGAGTTGCTGCGTGCAAAATTTAGGTCCTCTATGAGGGCCAGATGTACTCTGGATTACTGAGCCACTTCTCCAGCCCCCACTCACAGTTTCCAGTGCTCGCCTCTTACCCCCAGATACCCTGCAGTATAAAACATCATGTAAACGCTGCACAGATTCATTTCTGTTGTGAAAATGCAAACAAAAGTACAAACCCCACAAGCATAAAGTTCCCCTTTCATGCTCCTCAGACTCACGGTCTCTCAGAAATGACGAGCTCTCATCAGTTTGGCTATCTCCTTATGGTCTCTTAGAGTATGCCATGCTGAAGTGTAAAAACCAGGTGTGGCGGCGGTTTGAATGAGAATGTCTCCCCTAGGCTCATGTACTTGATCCTCAGATTGGTGGAGCCGTGTGGGAAGGATTGGGAAGGTGTGTGGCAGGGGTGGGATTTGAGGTTCCAGAACACTCAAACCATTTCCAGTGTAAGCTCAGCTTTCTGGTTGTGGATCTAAATGTGATCTCTCAGCTGCTGCTCCCATGCCAAGCCTGCTGCCATGCTCCCCGCCACAATGGCCATGGATGCCTAGCCCTCTTGAACTGTAAGCTACCAACCCCTTCTTTTATAAGTCACCTTGGTCATGGTGTTTTATCACAGCAATAGAAAAGTAACTAAGATAGTAGGTGTCAGCATTTTGTTCTTGTTCCACAAATATGTAACCATCATGCACATCGTCTCGTATGTTACATGATCCAGTCAATAAAAGTTTTAGGTCTGTCTCTGTCAGTCCCTTTGTGTTTGTGACATTTCCTCACTTCTGTGTGCATCAACGTTTGGGTCCTTTCCAAGTGGTGGCATTGTCACAGTGACACCCGGCCCGTCCTTGTTTCTCAAACTGTTTGTAAGTGCAACACCTGCTGCTGTCTCTCAGTGGTGTTCCAAAGAAATGAAGGGTTGAGGATATGTGCACTTTATAGAATACTAGCGAATGGCCCTCAGAATTAGCACGCTGATTTATCTTCGTACTCACAGTGTGGAGAAGATGCTCCCAGCTGGCCTGTCCAAATCCCTGCCCATCTGTTGCTATCTTGATGTGTTCTGTAGCGGAGCTGTAGCAGGGTAAACAATCACTTTTGCAGTCCCTAACAATGGCCTTGTGATGCGTTTCTTATTGAAATGATACAAAGGAAACATCCAGACATTGGTTCTGAGAAAGCTCTAGGTTTTCCTGATGTGAAGGAGGGAAGTGACTGGAGCCGGGTCCTCTTCTTTACTAGACCACCTGGTGTTGTGAGGTGACAGACGCAGGTGACAGACCAGCATGCTAAAGACGACAGAGCAGACAGACAGAAAGAACTTTGATTATTAGTGGCAAAACCTATTGCTAGTGGCAACAAGACTGAGCCAGAAGGTGCCTACTCTGGACAGCTCATTATAACTGAAAAAATAAGCCTTTACTGTGTAACTCCTCCTGGCTGGGCATCTGTAACATGTGGCTGAATGAAAACTTAAGGTCAGTTGGATTTCAGTACCGGGTATCCACATCTGCTTTAACCTTTTTTTTTTTATATGCTATGGTAATGATATAATAAAATGGTAATTTAAGCCATTATTCCCTGTCAAGTTTGTATGTATTATCTATGAGATTTACAAAAGTTCTAGCAGCAAACTCTTTATTTTCAAAATGAGAAAACCAGACATCAAAATGCAAAGGATTCTGACCCAGTTCTGGTTGCTTCCACGCCCGAGCATCATGGTTCCTTCTTAATATGATAAGAACAATGTGGTCAATAGTCAAGTAGCTTGGGTGTTTGCAAATGCACAATGTGAATATAAAATTTGGGTTTCATTTTTCTCCAAACATAAGCACTGTGAATAATGTCCCATAGGTTGTGTTTCTGAATAAGCAAAATGACCCAAGGCCTGAGTGTAAGGACATGCCATTGTGGTCAGTACCTGGAGTGTAAGGACATACCGTGGTCAGTACCCAGAGTGTCAGGACAAGCCATTGTGGTCAGTACCAGGAGTGTAAGGACATGCCATTGTGGTCAGTACCAGGAGTGTAAGGACATGCCATGGTCAGTACCAGGAGTGTCAAGGACATGCCATTGTGGTCAGTACCTGGAGTGTAAGGACATGCCGTGGTCAGTACCCAGAGTGTCAGGACAAGCCATTGTGGTCAGTACCAGGAGTGTAAGGACAAGCCATTGTGGTCAGTACCTGGAGTGTAAGGACATGCCGTGGTCAGTACCTGGAGTGTAAGGACATCCTGTGGTCAGTACCAGGAGTGTAAATGGAGGTCTTACTTTCAGAGTATTTCCTGGTATTCTGACCCCTGGCCTCCACCCCTCCTGAGCCCTTTAATCAGTTATACTCGTAGGTCTCTCTGGTTTCCCCTTGGGGCCCTTTCATCATCTCCCCTAATACAATCTTTTTTTTTGTTGTTTGTTTGTTTTTTGTTTTTGTTTTTTCGAGACAGGGTTTCTCTGTGGTTTTGGAGCCTGTCCTGGAACTAGCTCTTGTAGACCAGGCTGGTCTCGAACTCACAGAGATCTGCCTGCCTCTGCCTCCCGAGTGCTGGGATTAAAGGCGTGCGCCACCACCGCCCGGCCTCCCCTAATACAATCTTGAAAAAAAAATTAAAAAGATACTCTCAGAATGTGTGTTTATGTTTCTGGTTAACTTTGAGAAGCTTCATAAGGAGACTGGAGACTAACCCAGTTGTAAATGCTGAACGAAGCCAGCTTGAGCCCTTACACCAGAGAGGGAGGCGATCTCCGATTCCTATGGCCTCTGAACAAACATCCCACGAGTTTAAACCAAAGCTTTGTATTGGGATTGCTGGAGACCATTGTATTTCATAGTGGGTTTTCAGTTGTAACATCAGCCCACTTCAGGCAACTGTAAGCAAAATGGAGTTCCTGGCTAGTGCCATCCAAGTCCAGGAGAGCCGGCGCCAGCTCATTTCCATTAGCTCTGTGTGACTCTATAGGACTTTGTTTTGAAGAGAAGTTTTTTCCACGTGGCGTCAAATGATGGGTTCCATGTTCCTGAAATAAGGACTCCCCCTGGCAACTCTTGTAGGGGGGAGCAGTGGATCCCCCAGCTTTGATAGATTGATCCTGGGGAAGAGTTGGGCTAACTTTGATTATATGCCCATTTCTGAACCAATTCCCCAAGATAGGCAAATCCATTGATTTATTTAAGATACTTTAATTGTACCAGCTTGGATCACAGTTTCTCTTCCGTGACTTGATTGTTTGTAGGAGCTCACCCCTATCAAAACCACAGGGTGTAGATTTGCTGTGGGAATGAGTTTTTTTGAGTAAGAGATAGACAAAAACAGTAGGTGTCCATGAAATGATTTGAAGACAGTACCTCGGTCCTGAACCTTTTGAGGATCGTCACTATGGTTCACTAGGCAGGCAGAGGCTCACCATGCTTGGCATGAACCACAGTGGCAGTTCTGGGCATACCACACCTTTTCCTGGAAAAGACACAGCATCCTTTACTGTAGGATGCAAGGGGTTCGCTCTCCAAAGCCATCCTTTGGAATAGCCACTGGATGGGACAAAGGAGGCGATGTCCCAAATCCAGCTTTTAGACAAGACGGTTCTTTCTGCCTAGTGACATCAGCGACCTCAGGAACTCTCTGGCCCTCTCCACTGTAGCCCGAATGTCCTGGTGTCCTGCGTAACAGCACAAGGCTGTCCAGGCGCAGGCCTTGCCTCAGGGCACTGTCCCGCGGATGCATCTGTTTGCCTGTGTTTCTTCCTGTGTGTGCGTCTGTGTGCTACACACATGCGTGGCTGTCATTCTCGGGGTAAAGGAAGATAACTGGAACCCTGCCACTTACACAATCGCTCCTCATGCTTAAGTATCATTTGCTTTTAAACAGCAAATTT